AGCAGGAAAGCACGCGAGTCTGGGGTTGGAAGTTGCTGCGTGCGTTCTGCACGTTTGCAGGCCCCTGGCAGTATGATTCCCCAGGTTCCTTCCTGCACTGATACTCTTTGACTCCTCTGTGCTTCTTCCTATCTCCTGTGTCACTTCCCCACCAACCATTGTCTGCCTTTTGCTTAAATACCTCCATGATGAGGAACTGGCTGTCTTCCCTCAGACAGAATTGTTGGATTGTTAGGCCTGGTCTTGAGCTCACATCTGTCTCCCTGAACTTGTCCCTGGAAAGTGACTTGGGTTCAGGTGTAGGTAATGCCCTTAGGATTGCAGATAGAAGTTGTGAGAGGGGAAGGTGCCAGAAAAGAACTCCTACCCTGACCTGGGCAGACAGGGTGGTCAGGGAACTTGGAGGTACTTGGAGCCTCAGTAATCATTGTATAATTTCTGCTTTCCGGAGGCATACAGAGCTGCTGCTTTGTACTACTTTATGACAGTGACAGAGATAGCTTCTGTGTATCCTTTGCAAAAAGCACGTTAACAACATCCTCACTTAGTTTATACAGCAACCCTCTGAGGCTGGTATCATCAGCTCTGTTTTACAGGCGAGGAAGGTGAGGCTCAGGAAGTTAACAGAGCGGCCTTCTGAAACCCAGCCTGTGCCCCTCTCACCAGCTGCCCTCCTCGTCCCCAACCCCATCCCCAGCCTTCTGTTCTCCTTGCTCCCCGCAAGCCCACGCCTCCCGTTCTCTCACCCTCTGCAGGTTTCCATGTGATCCCCACCATCTCGAGCATTGTCCCGGAGAGCTGCCTGCTGATCGTGGTGGGGCTGCTGGTGGGGGGCCTGATCAAGGGCGTGGGCGAGACGCCCCCCTTCCTGCAGTCAGACGTCTTCTTCCTCTTCCTGCTGCCGCCTATCATCCTGGATGCGGGCTACTTCCTGCCGCTGCGGCAGTTCACAGAGAACCTGGGCACCATCCTGATCTTCGCTGTGGTGGGCACGCTGTGGAATGCCTTCTTCCTGGGCGGCCTCATGTACGCCGTGTGCCTGGTGGGCGGCGAGCAGATCAACAACATCGGCCTCCTGGAAAACCTGCTCTTTGGCAGCATCATTTCAGCCGTGGACCCCGTGGCCGTGCTGGCCGTCTTCGAGGAAATTCATATCAATGAGCTGCTGCACATCCTTGTCTTCGGGGAGTCCCTGCTCAATGACGCCGTCACTGTGGTGAGGGGGCAGGGACCACACCCACGTGCACACAAGACGCAGATCCGAATTCAGGTCCAGAGTGGATCCCACATCCACCCGCTAATGATAGTAATAAGATAGCAAATGTCCATTCCTGCCCGCTGTGTGCGGACATCATGATGGGCACTGGACATGGATTATCTCATTTCATCCTCATGACCACCTTAGGAGGTGCTTATTATTCTCACTTTACAAAGGAGGAATCAGGCTCAAAGAAGTTCAATAACTCGCTAGAATATGATAGAACCAAAATTAGAAGCCAGGTCTCTCTGACTCCAGGGCCTGCGCTCTTGGCCTTACCAGGTCATGTGCTCTGTCCCTGATGGATTGTGGTGTGATCTTGGTTAAATTACTTGTCCTCTTTGTACCTCAGTTTACCCTTTATAGACCATTTAGTCTCTGAGGGGCATTTCGGCTTTCATGTTAGCTGTGTCTTCAGTTAGAGTTTAATTTCTGCAGAGTTCGAGGGCAGCAATTGTGGAAGGGGACCTTGCCTCTAAAACCTACAGAAAGTGACAAGTGGGTTGGTTTGGGTTGGCCATTTCCTTACGTGTGAGCTTAGGCAAGTGACTACCTCTCTGGGCCTCACCTTTGACAGCTGCAAAGTGGCAGAGTAGTTAGTGCTTTCCTTCCAGGTCTAGCGAGGACAGACACCCCCTACTGCAGGGTCTGCACGTGGCAAGGCTGTATATATTTGCACATACCCTTCCTCCCAGTCGGCTTCCTCAGGAAACAGATACGTGTATGTGCACACACGTTGTGTTGTGAAAACACCTACACCCCCCTCCTAGCTGGACCCCTCAGAGAGCAGCTGCCCGCACAGGAAAACACAAGGACATGTGTGCACGCTCGCACACACACTCCCACTTCCCCCCCCCCCAGCCCCTCAGGAAGCCGCCCCTGAAAGAAGCGACAGACGGTGGGGGCTGGCGGCCGACCAGCTGGGGTTTCCCACTTCCCCCCCCCCAGCCCCTCAGGAAGCCGCACCTGAAAGAAGCGACAGACGGTGGTGGTCGGCTGCTGACAGCCTGGGCTTCCTCTCCCTCTTCCTTCCCCACCACCCTCATAAGCTCCTCGTGAGGCTGGTGGAGCAGCAGCCTGACCTGAGCAGGCTGGCATCTGTCCTGTCTCTTCTTGCCCAGGGTTACCACACCAGCCTGTTGCCCCATCTGTAACAGGGATTGCAGTGCTTAGCCTGTCATCCTCCCGGGGTTCTGACAGGAGTCACACTCACTGATGTCTGCAAAATCAGTGAGTGCCAGAGACGAAGCCCTCCCCAGATGACCCAGGTGTCAGGGTTCAGGTTGGCACTACTGGGGAGCAGCAGGGCGTGGTTGCAAGAGTGGATACCTCAGTCCAGCCACCTTGGGCCACGGCCACACCTCCCCAAGACGGTGGCAGCGTTGGTGGTAATCGCTGGTGTTCACTGAGTACTTCCTGTCGGAATATATATTGTCTCATCTAATCTGCACAGAAACTCCATGAGTTTAGCATGGTAATTTTCTCCCATTTTCCACGTGAGGAAACAGAGGCACTGAGAGATTAAGGAACTCGTCCAAGGTCATATTAGCTGATAAATGATGTAACTGGGCTTCAGATCTACACAGTCTGAGTCCAGAGTCCAAACGCTTACCAGTATGCTTCTCTGCTTCTCTAGTCCCAGTGACAGTGGTACCAGGCCAGAAAGGAGGACCTTGCCCTCTATACCTGCCCCACTGGTCCAGGTGGTGCACTTGAGGGACCCATGAATTTCCTCAGGCCAGGAGTAAGTTTAGGTAGCCCGGGGCTGAGAATGCACTGCTGTCCTTCACCGGAGCCCTGCCCTGTCTCCCAGACGGCTGTGTCCTGGCAGCACCAGGAACTGGCCGGTGCTTGGCATCTCCCCTTCCTGCCTAGCCCCAGTCAGGCCCTTTCTAGAGCTCTGGGCATGGGTGTGAGTGCCCCATTTTCCAGACAGTAGAGCTGAAGGCTGCCCCAAGCTGAGTGGCCTCAGGCCTTTGCCCTGGAGCAAAGGTGCCCTGCTTCCAGGTGCGGCCCAGGTACTGGGGGCTTTGGAGGGTTCTGTCTCAGGGACCCTCAGGTCCTCTTCCCCACTCCCTTGGCGTCCCCCGGGCCTGGACACTCCCCAGCTGGTTTCTAGGTAGAGCTGTTTAGGAGCAGGCCAAGCAGCCAGCACCTAAGAGGGGGCAGAACGTCCAAGCTGAATCCCCAGGGAGGCCCCATCCACTGCTGTCAGGGAACAAGCTCTAGGCCCAACTCTGCTGCTCCTGGGCTGGGGGCCGTCTGGCAAGTCGCTTCACTACTCTGAGCCTAAGTTTAGCAAAGGAACAAGCATTCTTAGCCTCCCTACCTCTTCAGGCTGTAGTGTGTCGAGCAGCATGACCATAATCGAAGCGCTTTACAGTGTATGAAGTGCCACTTAAGGTCTGATGGTAGTGTCACAATGACTGTTTATTTCCCCCGCCCGGAGGTGGGGAAGCCATGGAGAGCCTCTAGGCCCACAGTGCCTGAACCTGGTGGTTCATTGCAACCACCTGTTGAGCAGAGATTTCCGGGCCCCACTTCCAGACAGTCCAAGTCGGGTATGTATGGCCTGGCCGTGTATATTTTCAGAAAACTTCAGCGGTTAAGTCCTGTCCTAGTTCATTATCTGAACTTCCCTTGCTTTGTGCTGAAGGAAAAACCAAAATCCAGGCAAGGGTATGAGAGGCGAACTTGGTGCAGTAGCAGCTAATACTGTGATAGGCACTTTGCCTTCATCGACTAATCTCACAATAGCCCTGTAAAGTCGGGACTATTACGCCTATTTTCTGGTCAGGAGAACTAAAGCACAGGGGGATTGAGTAATTCGCCTCACGTTTACAACCGGGGAGCGGCAGAGCCAGAATTTCAACCCAGGTGGTTTGGCCGCAGAGCTGTGCTCTGTACCCGCACAGCACGTTGCAGGCCCGAAGACCCTGTGGCCCCGAGGCTGGTGGTTTTGGCACCTGCTTGGTGCTAGGGTTTCTCTGCTACCACATGGCCGAGGTCAGCGGAGGGGATAGGATCATCCTGGGTGGACCCCAGGGAGCCGTGGGGCATCCTGCCGACCAGGCTGCGCACTCTTCCTAGGTCCTGTATCACCTCTTTGAGGAGTTTGCCAACTACGACCACGTGGGCATCGTGGACATCGTCCTCGGCTTCCTGAGCTTCTTTGTGGTGTCCCTGGGCGGGGTGTTTGTGGGCGTGGTCTACGGGGTCATCGCAGCCTTCACCTCCCGGTTCACCTCCCACATCCGCGTCATCGAGCCGCTCTTCGTCTTCCTGTACAGCTACATGGCCTACCTGTCAGCCGAGCTCTTCCACCTGTCGGGCATCATGGCGTGAGTCTGGGCGTGGCGTGGGGGGCCGCCAACTCAGATTCCCCAGGCTTGTAGGGTCAAAGGGAGCTACCCAGCGCCCAGCCCCCAGATCCAGACTCCAGGTCCCGGGGCTGCCCCTGAAGCACTGAGTTTAAAGTTCTGGAAAGTCTCAGCCCAGCTATTTCTTCCCCTCATTTGTCGTAAAGGGAACCCCTTGGTGGTAGCCGGACACAGTCACTCGCGCTTGCTGCTGACCCTCAGCAGCCCCAGCAAGGAGGCTCCAGGCTTCCCTTGAAGTGAGGGTCCTGGAGGTCCTGAGGCCCCAGATGGGTCTTGAAGCCGGGGGAGTGTGGAGAGGCAGTGAGGTGCAAAGGTGCTCACAGTAGGGGAGGCCATTGGAAGTGTGGGGCACTGGGGGTGACCGCGAGGAGGCTGGGCCAG